TGTAATAGACCGAGCACTTTGTATCCACTTTGGAAGGCGCTTTCGAGGTCCAAAAATTACATGTATTTTAAAATGTGTGTTCTTATTATTTAGATGATGACGATTGTTATTACCGGTATGTAAATGTAGCTCATCTCATAATATAGCAGTCCATGCAGTGTCTCCTTTTAAAGACAATTTTAGGCCGCAGGTGGTGTCGGGGGCATTATGTTTTCCGGTTGTCCGCGTCCTTCCCGCATTTTAATCGCGATATCTCAAAAACCATTCAAGGTATGAACTTCAGACTTGACGATAGAATGAATCACCATATGAAGATGATCTGATTATAATTTGGGTAAACAGGTCAAAGGTCACAGAGGACAATTACTGAAATTACATGTTTTAGCCTTGCTATTGCGATATAGCAAGAACCACTAGAGATATGAGATACAGACTATGTGATAATATGTATCATCATTGGAATATTGGAGAAGGTGAATGGTCAAAGATCTATTTTTTCTGAGGGATCCACAAACTACAAGCACTGCTTTTTAGTGGATTCCCCCATTTCCTCAGAAATTAAGAATTTCTTGTAACAATTTTATTATGTGCAAAGTGTATTTGTATAGATACCAGAAAAAAATGAATTATGTATGAACAATTTTTAATTACTTTTGTTTATCTTTCTGTTGGAAATGAAATAATTGAATTGAATCATAGACGCCCATTTCTGAAATTACAGGTTTTATCCTTGTTTTAGCAATATTTTAAGAACCATTAGAGTTATAAGCCTCACACTTGGTGATAGTATGTATCACCATAGGAAAACAGTCCAAGTAGGCTGAAGGTCACAGAGGTCAATTTCTTGAATTAAAGGTTTTTCGCCTCGGTAACGCAATATCTAAACTTGGAGACAGTACTACTATTAAACAAAATACATTTTGGTGCTAGAAGGTCAAGATCATAGTCATCATCAGTTGACATTTGATTATAGGCTTTTTGTTTTCATTGTATGTCACAAATATTTACATCCATTTCCTATACTGAATTTAGGGTGGAGGCATATAGAAGACGCAGTCACATTAGTACCGTTTGATTATCCTTTGATCCAGAATGTTAGGGATTTGAATATGTATAGAAAGAGAAAAAAAACAGTCTTAGAGTCAATTTTCAATGTAGTACATTCATTCATTCATTCGTTCTTTCAAAATGGTTTATTCAAATACTTTCCTTGTGGCCACAAGGCCGAATGGTGACAGTTTACAATTACAGTACAATGTTATTTCAAAATGTACATTAAAAACATTGAAAATAAAAAGGCTTATTAGAGTATCATGAATTGAATAAAAGCAACTGCATAGAATGATCAAGAAATGGGCATTAAAATCAATAAGACACGTTGAATTAAATAAAGTAAAATATGACGATAGAGGGAAAAGGAAACATAGAACAATGATGAAGGAGAGAGGGAGAGAGAGGAGAGAGAGAGGGAGAGCGAGGAGAAACAAAAGGGGAAGAAAAGAGATTTTAAAAAAGGAGACATGAAGAGAGAAGAAAAGACGTGTGTGAGAGGAGATAGATAAGAGAGAGATGGAGATAGATAGAGAGAGAGAGTGAAAGAGAACGAGAGAGATGATAAAAACAGAGAAAAAGGGAAGGAAAAAAGAGAAAGTTAAAGGAGTGAAATGAATATACAACAGATAACTTAAACAAGATGCAAGAAAAAATATAATCCTCAATATCAAGATAAAAGTGTAATCTTAAAATACTTAAGGCACATTAGATTAAACATTGGTTTCTGATTAAACATTCTAATCAATTATATTTGTTGTAATATAATAGTACTGTACAATGAAGTAACTAAAACATGTTGAACAATATCATGCAGCTATTGCATAAATACTGGTAAACAGAAGGTTTATGCCTTCTTTCTTTTCATGAATTTTCATTTAGTACTGTGATGAAATATGGAATTCCACTATCCTTTTATAGTCTGTTTGTACATGCAGCATCAATACAAAAATATTAAAAATAGAAGAATCATATTATTACAGCATTAACATAATTTTGTCCGTTCCTTATTATAATTGATCAACTGGAATGCTATTTCATATACACACTGTATGTATATCTTAAATATATACATATATATACTATATTCTGTACAAATAGATATGGCATGGGAAAGAGCCACAAAATTATTATCGTAAGAATATATACATATATACATTATATTCTGTACAAATAGATATGGCGTGGTAAAAAGCCACACTTTACATCATAAAAACTGCTGTGGCTTGGCTTCGTCATACATGAGTGGGCCTCAAGATGAATATAGGTATGTCATTCCAATAAGATTACGGCAAAACATACTTGTACAGTTGATAGAATTTTGCTTGAGATTAATACGTTGATCAGTGTATTTGTCAGGTAATCGGTTGTCAGCATTTAATGTTTTCTCTAACCTTTTTTTTCTCCCTTTGGCATGGCTTAAATCATCAAATCATCCATGTTTGAAAATTCTGCAGGACCGCCAACATTAATTACTACTGTCCCTATAAGCAAAGCTATTGCTTATTTTGCTGTCAATAGAAACTTTATTCTGTGTCGCCCCATGGCATATAACCATGAAACACTGATTACAGGTACATGCATAAACGAACGAGACCTGAAACTTTGAAGCCACATTCATGTATATCAATATTCTGGCAATCGCCACCTACTCTTCTGTAATCTTTATATCTTATCTAGTATATTTTGCTGATGGAATTATATCAAAAGACATCAGTTGGTAAATCCTGAATATGTCATATATTTCATTGTATTAAATTCTAGTGCATTCAATATTTGTATGATAGCTAATGTTTACATATTATTTACAGTTATATTAAAGCAGGGTTGCTTCTTCAGTTAACAAACTGCTATTCCTGAGGGCCCTACACAATATATTTCAATTGAAGACATAAAAACATAAGAAACAACGGTTATGAAAACAAAGATAAATAACATTAGAAGAAACATGCATACAATATGGTAAAGTGTAACTATTTATAAACATATGGTATGATCAAAACATCCAACTGTTAAATTATTAAATTGTCCAAGTACTGATTACTGACGTTGAAAAGAAAATGATGTAAGAAAAAGCAGAATGATGAGTGGGGATAGACCGAGGGAGAATACATGTATGTTATGAAGAGACTTGGTGAAGCACTCACCTTCTCAGTAAAGATTACGTTATGAAACTCTAAAAAATTACATGTATATTGATGAAGAGACTTGGTATTAAAAACACTCACATTCTCAACAGTGATTAAATTATGAAACTCCTTCATATTGATTAATAAAACAAGGTTATCAAATATTAAAGTGAAAATGGATGGTAAGTACAAGCAGTTTTGTATCAAATAAGCACATATATGTATGTCTGAAGTTATGTATTTTATTGCCAAGGCAACAATATGCTTAAGGCATGTCCAAATTAATCAAAATAATCAAATGCATCAGTCTGTCAGCCTCATAAGGAAATATCTTTAAATTACTGTCAACTATATAAAATGATACATGTTTCAGGCTTCTTGTGAAGGACACAACCATACCAACATTCTGTATTCCACTATACAGTTTAACCTGAACCTTGGTCTAAAACAAAATAGACCTTGTACTTTGTTAATAATACTACCTTGTACTTTGTTAATAATAATAATTACTAATAATATATATGTTATTACTCTGGTCATCAATTTCAGGCTTGCATTCTCCATTCCCTGGGGAGCATTTTAGCCAGGTGTCATTTCACTCTCCCTTTGATAAACCTGCGATTTTGATCAAAAGTCTAAACACAGTGTCACGTTTGAGATTGACTAGAATACGGGCCAAAGAGTTCATACTGCACCCGTTGGAAGCTTCACATGATTACTTTACATACTTCACTAAATGTCTAACCCCTGCATCCACAAGGATGATCTTAAGCTGGGCCATATCACCACCTGTCCTTGTCTTCCATTGTGCCAAGCAATCCCTCGTAGCTATCTGGAAGTCATTGCTAACCCCCAGTAGGATGCCTTTGGCTTTGTCGTATGTGATGCCAAGTTCTGTGCATAGCTTTATGTAACTCACAGAAGGCATGTGTTCTGACAGTTCGTTAAGTATTCTATCTGATTCAAGATCAGTCCTGAGAAATGAAAAAAACGATTAATACAATCTTTGCAACCTGATGGTGTCACTTCATGTTTATGGGTGTAAGTGTGGAGTGCCACGAGTGTCATCAAGTTTGCCAGACATCGGTGGTACACTAGAATCCACTATTATCATTAATAGTAGTAGTGGTAGTATTAGTATTATTACTATAATTATTATCATCATCATTATTCTTATTAATATCATTATCATAAGTTATTATTATCAATATTATCAGATATTATAATATTATTATCACTATCATCAGTTATTATTATCAATAATATCTGTTATTATTATGATATTATTATCATTATTTCTATTATTATTATTATTATTAATCCATGATTGTCTTGCTCTTTCACAAAAAAACATTACCCCTTTTTCTAACTCTCAGTAGAAATTTGGGGATCACTTTTGGAAACAAGAGAAATCCCTCCCTATAAATAATATACTAAAAAAACTTTAAAAAAGAGAGAAAAACAAAATTCCACTTGTTCATAACAAATTGTGTGTATCATTGTAGACTTATAGTTTAGCACTGATCTTGAGATTACATTGCAAAAAAAACTTGAGAAGCAATTCGAAAAGGCTGATTATGTAATACATGATCAAAATCAAAAGATCGACTAATTCTTGCTGAATAACACATGCACTACACACAAATATTTGGTCCAAACTTTTTGTTATTGTAAAATTCCCAAGAAGATGGATTTCGAAGAGCAATGCCATTTAGACCTGAGTTCTGCTAGGATATTCTTCTTGTGAAATCTCACAAATTTTTCTTCACTTTTACCAAAACAAAGCCTTCTCTTTAAAATATATTATAGATTGGTTACATACCATGATAGAGTTGACACCCCTTCTGCTGCTGCTGCTGTTGTTCCCATATCTTTATTTCAAACAAAGAGAAAAGATGAAAAGATAGAAGATTGTAAATTCGTAAATTTATTAAAAAAGCCAAGTCCATTATGGATTATGTCAGGAAAGCACAATATATGATTAGATTTAGGCTGGTCTTAAATTCCAGATTCGATAACATGGGTAATAATATTTCTGTAATGCACTTCAAGACATTGTAGATGTATTAAGCAGTATACATTATATACCCAGAATATTCTTCTTACTATCATTAATTGTATTACAAAATATAGACAAATAAATATTGGCTGATATTTATTGCTTATTGTTTTAAGATACTTTGTGGGTTCCATATTATATTTCTCCCTATTAAATAGGGTAGGGGAAACCAAGGTACGGATTGACACGTGCACATCCTAATCAGTTATACAGGGAATCAAAATCGCAGTTATGAGTAATAATACTGATAATGTTAATGATGATGATAATGATAACTAGAAATATTGCAATCTGTATTGCTGCGCAATGCAAATGTATCCCCCGGCAGTGGCAGTGATTTTTGTGTCATCCTGATGTTCGAAGGAGGGACAAAGACTAGTGACTCGGACTATTGTCAAGACTAGGAGCAGCATCAATTTGAAGGAAATCTGTCAAGAAATGATGCAGTTAGACCAAACACTATAGTGCACACAAGACATCCATCAAAATATGACCTTTGGCCCTATAAAAGACGGAACACTGGAGGCAGAATCACCAAAATCTATAGGCTTGTAGATTACACCAAGATACACCTTCGTTTAAAATTTGAACAAAATCCCTTGAAAATGTAGCCCTTAGAGCGCACACAAACCATCCACAAAAATATGGCCTTTTACCCTATAAAAGACGGAACACTGGGGGCAGCATCACCACAAATTAAAGGTGTGTAGATTATATCAAGATTCCATACAAAATTTGAAAGAAATCCGTCAAGGAATGTGGCTGTTAGAGCGCACACAAGAATATGACGCGGCGGCAGTGGAAGCGGCGGCGTAAGGCTGCTGAATCTAAAGTAACCCACCGGCATACTGCCGGGGGATACAATGATAACAACGATAATAACAACAATAACAATACTGATGACGGTAATGGTGATAATGATAATAATTATGAATAACACAGAGCATATACGTACCATCATATCGCAAGTAAAAAAGAATCTCAGTAGGGTCAGAGAGAGACTTTTTTTTATTCAAGGTGAATTGTAGAATATTTTGGCTTGCCCCTGACTCCAGTGGCTTCACTTTAAAGGTGAATCGATTTCTATCAAGGCGGTAGATATCACTTGTACCAAGTCTCTATTTTAAAAGAAGAAGGAATTCAAGGAAATAATTTTATTTCAAAATTTATTTCCATTAAAAAACAACTGATGGTGTATAACATATGTAGCTAAAACTGAATAAAACGACCACTTTCAAATGGTATATAAATTTCATAATCATGCATGGACAAACAGGAATTAATAAGAAGGTGAGAGAAAGATAGAGAGGGACAATAGGGTGAAAGGCATTGAAATGCCCTGTCTGCTGGTCCCTCTTGAATCGAAATTTTTCTGAGTTCTTTGAACAAAAGTAGGCAAAATAATGTCGATTACACGCTTCTATGAAAATAAAATTGAAATCATGGATGATAAGAATTCACTAAATAATTTTGTGTATCAAAAGAATGAAATTAAGCAGAAATGTAATGAGTACCGTAGATACTTGAAATACACTGGACATAAAAGATATGAGAGTTAGGTTTTTACCCAGTGTAGCTGTGCACAGACTGTATTCTGCTAACTTCATAATGTTCTCTAAATATCCCGTTTTTTAAAAACCATTCATAATCATGGAAAAGGGAGACACTCCCTTAATGCTAGGAGTCCACTGGGCCAGCGCCAGTTGGTGCCAGTTTGCGCCAATGCAATTTACTGTGGCGCCTAGTGTCGCCAATGAGGTGCCTAGTGGCGTGTAGTGGCTCAAACTGCCTCCCAACTGGCTCGTGGTGGCCCGTAACGGCACCAAATTTGAATGTGGCGGCAAGAAAATGTCAAAATGTTTGAAATTTTCGTCGCGCCACTTGCATCGAGCAATCAGCGCCAAGTGTCTGCCAAGTGGCACCAAATGGCGCGAACATATCGCCCTTTGGCGCAAACAATCCGCCTATTGGAATCCACATGGCGCCACTTGGCGCCAAATGTGCAGTGGCGCGAGCCAAACGGCACCCGAGGGCCGATTGGTGACTACTTCGTGCCAAATGCCACCTGGTTGCCCGCCATTCGGCGCCACTTGCCGCCTATCAAAATTGTAAATATTTAGTACAGATGTTGTTCATATACAGCAGCTGAGGAGGGTCTGAACCAGGTAGCTGATGGCCGGTATTTATATAGTCGGCAAGTAGCGCCAAGCGGCGGCAAGTTTAAACCAATTTGGCAACCTTTGGCACAAACTAATCACCAAGTGGCGCAAAGTAGCCGTCTATTGGCGCGAATGGCGCCAACAGGGTGAATTTTGGAATCAAATGGTCGTGTAATGGTACGAACTGGCGCAAACTGGCGCAACATTTTGGAGCAAGCCGGGTGGCATTTGGCGCACGCCATATGGCACCCAGTTTATTCCACTTGGCGACACATGCCGAGCGGACATTAATTCGGCGCCATGCACAGCGAGCCACTACGCGCCAATCACATTATCTTTGGCGCGAACTGGCACCAACTGGCGCTGGCCCAGTGGACTCCTAGCATTAAAAAAAAACATTAAAAAAACAGACTAGCAGAAAGGGTATGTGTGTGTGCATGTAATATTGAATGAAATAAAAATAAAAATTATGAAAAACAAAAACGTGTGTAGATATACATTTGTGCTGGTGTGTTGGGTGGGTGTTGGTGGTGTGTGTGTGTGTGTAAATATCTATGTAAGGGGGGGGGGGGGGTGGGAAGTATGGAAATGGCAATACAAAAAATGAGATCTTTACAATTTATCTATTTATCCACATCTACCTTTCAAATACAGAACGTATACCTTTTCGCCAATTTCCTTTGGGCCGTCAAACAACTTGACTTTGATATCTCCATACTTCCATTCTATGAACATTGGCTGGGGTGGGTCAAGTTCTCTGTTCTCTTTCATTTCTTCTTTTATTTTCTGTTGAAGGAAAAAACAAATTATATAAGGTTGAGAAGATCCCTCTCTCTTTTTATATATTTATATGTATATATGTATATATACAGTGCGTCCCAGAAAAAACGAAACCGAGAAGTATCGATGTTCTATCATAACTTAATCACAACTATAATTAATGAATGATACATATTTGGAAAGCTTAGAGTCTCCTCTTTCATGTGATGCTACTCAGATAATGCATATTTCACGCATGAGTGATTAAAATCAATTTGAAGGAAGGAAACCAAAAAGACATTTGGCGGGCGGTATCTGAATTTCGAAGAAAAATTCACATTTCTAGAAAGTTGAGTTTCTGCCCTTTCATATGACACCTCAATCAGGAAAAAAGAGCGAGGAATGACAAAGTTCTGTTTGTTTAATATAGTGCTTGCATTTCCATAATTTTATCAAACGAATTCGTTTTCACTGGCTGCCTGCCTTATCAATAAACGAAATTAACAAAAGACTTAACTCCGTTTCGTTGACAATCAGCCGTAGACGAGAGTCTTCATGCATGGCTGATTGTCAACTAAACGGAGTTAAGTCTTTTGTCAAATCTGCTTTTTGCTACGGCAGGCACCCAGTGAAAACGAATTCGTTTGTTTAAATTATGAAAATGTAAGGGCTACTTTAAACAAAGAGAACTTTGTTATTCCTGGCTCATTTTTCTTGATTGAGGTATCATATGAAAGAGCAGAAAATGAACTTTCTAGAAATGTGAATTTTTCTTTGAAATTCAGATACCGCCCGCCAAATTACTTTTTGGTTTCTTTCCTTCAAATTGCTTTAAATCACTCATGCGTGAAATATGCATTATCTGAGTAGCATCAGCTGAAAGAGGAGACTCTAAGCTTTCAAAATATGTATCATTCATTAATTATGGTTGTGATTAAGTTATGATAAAACATCGATACTTTTCGGTTTCGTTTTTTCTGGGACGCACTGTATATATATATATACAGTCAACAATTCATACCCTTACCAATCTTTGTAAATGTTTATGGAAGTATGTGGAAAATGGATTTGTTGTATCTATACATGTGTTTATATATGTCGACAGATGTATACCGATACAAATATATATTACCGGTATTATTATAATTTTTTCTTAAATTTCAGTGGGGAATCCAAAGGACAAATTGAGTAAATTAAGAAAATGTGTCATTATTTATGCCCCCAGCCACTCATTCAGACTACAAAAAACAGCTCAAAATGTGCTGAGTTTGGTTTTTTTTTCTTCAGAGAACTTTTCATTCTCTTATCAATTTTTTATGCAATTTTTTTTTTTGTACATTTATATTCATATACCAATTTTATATTTATACTGGGGTCTAATCTTTGTATCTGTATAATAGAATCACTACATTTTCTGTACCGAAGTTAAAAATCTGTGTTAACCATTAATCTTTAATTGTTTAAATGACTCATTATCTTCCATGGCCAATGTTACAGTTGTCTCCTCTTCCTCTACCACTTCTACTTTCCCACCTCCTTTCTTCATCTCACCCTTATCTTTACTTCTCAATCCTCTTTCTCCTTTTGCTTTTGCTTCTTATAATGGTTCTCATTTGTTATAGTCTGGTTGAAATGTTATAACCTTTTCCTTAGAGTAGCTATTACCTAGAGTAATTTTTTTTTTAATTCGTACAATTTTTCATATAAGTATTTATTTTCTTCATAACTTTGCCTATATCATTAGTAGTTTGTATAATGTGTAATACTTGAATATTGATATCGATACATTATGATAGTGTTACTATTCGCACTACCCTCTGTCTATCATCTTACTATCCCTACTTGAATCTTCTTCTTCTTCTCTTCTACTTTCTCTCTTCTCCTTCCTCTTCATCCTCTTCTTAATCTTACCATCCTCTTTTCTTTGCTTTCTTTACTCTACACCACCAACATGTTCTTCTTCACTTCTCTTTATCTCCTTTATATATAAAATGAGTTAGGGAGATCAAATAATAAGAAATAAGCATTTTAAAGTTATTTTTATTTTGTTAACAATCTACTCATTCAAGTTTAGTTCGTTAATTTGAGGTTATTTGATATGAATGTTTTTATATACTGTATTTTACATTTGTAAAACATTGCCCAATTCGGCCTTGTAGGCCGCGATGCATTGTTGTTCTTTTATTCTCAATAAAACCATTATATATCTATCTATCTATCTATTCAATTATCTTTTTTGCCTGTTCAAAAATATATCTGCCAGCAAATGTAATAATAGTTTTTTTTTCTTCCCTAATCTCTGTCTCACCTTAATAACATCTGGGAGGTCGTCATAGATGCAGAGAAGCACCAAGTGGGTGGACCCTTTCCCGACAGGTGGTTGTGCATGTGCATATGGCGTGAAGTTGACCCTCTTTCCAACAAAGTACCGAGTGATTTTAGCCACAATCCACCATTCACAAAAATGATCTACGTAGAAATCCAAGTCTTTTGCTCTGACATCACAACCGCCGGTGGATGCAGAAATTCTTTCAAAAGATTTAGAGCCTATAAAAACAAGATTTATATCAGATTTTTTTTTAATTTGACAAATGCAAAATTATTATTGCATCTATATACCGGTAGTGTAAATATATCTCTGCATTAACTCTTTCCTTTCTTGCTCCTTTTCCGTTTGGCAGGATATGCCCCCCCTTGATAATACACTGGTCAATAAATCAGTTTTCACTAAGCCTTCTGAATTGAATCAAATCAAAGGAAGCAGAGAGTGACGTGTATTTACCTATTTTGAGGTTTCACAATACTTTTACTTATATTCATTGTTATATTTCTATGTAAAATACGGTGTGTGTTAGATGAAACTAGATGGAATTCGACTGCGCGCAGTCGAAAATGATGCCTCCGTTATAGAGCAATTTTACAAACCAAAACAGAAAAAAAAAATTGAATTCACGTTCAATGGTAATCCATTGACAGGTTCTCAGAATATTGTGATTACAAGCAATTTCTCATATACATATATGACCCTTTGATCTTTGACCTCATGACCATAAAATCTACTCAGTTCATTGGCTCTGCAAGATGTTCTGAGTTAAATAGTAATCCATCTGTCAGTTCTAATGAGAATGCGTTCACAAGCTATTTTTGCATACATAATGGGCCCATGACCTTTGACCTTTGACCTTATGAACCAAGAATCTACTCAGTTCATTGGCTCTGCAAGTAACAAACATGACCTAATTTTGGCATGAATCCATCAATCGGTTCTTGAGATAACGCGATCACAAGCTGTTTTTGCATTCATAATGTGCGCTGTGGCCTTTGACCTTTGACCTACGTGCTCCAAAATCTACTCAGATTGTCTTCCTATGGTGATACATACTATCCTTAAGTTTGAAGTTTTTACATCTCCAGTGGTTCTTGAGATATCATGATAACAATCTCAATGTATGGAATTTCATAAGTTGACCTCTATGACCCTTGAACTTTGACCTACGTGCTCCAAAATGTAATCAGATTGTTTTCCTATAGTGATACACACTATCACTAAGTTTGAAGTTTAAATCTCCAGTGGTTCTTGAGATATCATGATAACAATCTCAATGTATGGAATTTCATAAGTTGACCTCTGTGACCCTTGACCTTTGACATACGTGCTCCAAAATCTAATCAGATCGTCTTCCTATGGTGATACATACTATCCTTAAGTTTGAAGTTTAAATCTCAAATGGTTCTTGAGATATCGCGCTAACAAACTCAATACAAGGAATTTCATAAGTTGACCTCTGTGACCTGTGACCTTTGACCTACGTACTCCAAAATCTAATCAGATCGTCTTCCTATGGTGATAAATACTATTCCCGAGTCTTAAGTTTAAATCTTAAATGGTTCTTGAGATATTGTGATAACGGTCAAACGGGACGGACGTACGGACGGACAACCCGAAAACATGATGCCTCCGGCACCACCTTCGGTGGCGGAGGCATAAAAAAAGAGTTTAGCTGCGGTAAAAATTATATGATACTTGCTCCAGCGACAATCACTCTGCGTCAATTTCCTACACTAACCGAATCCTTAACTTCAATCTTAAACCCGACACTATACCTACCCCTAACCCTAGACCTAATCTGAAACCCATTGGCAACCCGAAGCCTATACCTCAAGAAATAAAGCCGGGAGCAATTGTCACATTGTCACACAAATGTTAGGTCACCGCTCAATGTGTCATGGTCTGGTAGATGGGTCACTGGACTGTGGATCGATCATTTAAGGTTTGTGGTTCAAGTCCTACCATGGCACTAATGTCCTTTGGCATGGCATTAATCTGCATATACCACTTCAGCCAGGTAATGTAAAGGGATAACCGGTAAGAAGAAATTCCTTGAGTGCCAGAATTCATCAGAGTAGCTTGGTTAATCCCAGCATAATTATAGTAATGCACTAAGAAACATTAGCATTAAGCACAATATAAACATTTATTTTATTATTTTCAAATCCTCCTAACCTTTGTTACGCGTGTAGAAGACGATTTCTGCACGTCTTGGATTAGAGAAATGTGCACTATGGTCCAATGTGACCTTGATAGGTTTGCTGAGCTTAGCTCCTGATGGCGAGAATCTGATGCCGCATGATATTACTGCTTCATCATCTCGGAGGGGAAGTTCTTCAGGAACGTCTGTCAGAAAAACCCAGTGGACTTGGTTGCCATCTAAAATATAGGAATACAATTTTGTTTCCATTTCTCAAATGTAAAAGATTGCATAATCTACATGACTTACCGTAAATATATATATCGTGTTAAAGATTGCATGATCTACATGACAACCTCGGCCTACCTGTAGGTCAACCTCAGTCTTCCTATAGTAGGCCAACCTCGGCCAAGCTATGTCAAAGTCATATTACTCAAGGTCATTCAAGGTGAATGACTGGCAGGTCATCACAAGTTGGTATTTGCTTCTAATCGTTAGATAGGTCGTCGGTACCCATAGCTATTTCCAGGACTGAGGAGACCTTCTGCATTGTTCATCTTCAACAAAATCAACGGGGTACGTCTCTCAACTGTTCATCATGGCAGTCATTGATCATCCTTGTGCTCATTTGTCGTCGCAGTCGATGTTCGTCGTATAGCTTATCTTCAGTCCTTGAATTCTTTCTTTGTATTCGGACTCTGGGCTAAGTCGAAGAGTTAATTCTAAATCTACGGAATCATAGTATTTGATCCATACTCTCATAAACTCTGAGAACACAAAAATTAATTTATACGTCATATCATGATTTTATTACACGATATTGAAGTCGAGTATGGAATGCCTGCATTCTATTTGCAGTTACTGGTTATTTTGTAAACGACACTGATATGATGTGTCCTATTTGAGTTACATTAAATTGAATACTTATATAATATTGGATGGCTTTGAGTGCAATACAAAAATATATTGCTCGAGCTATGACAATATTGGATGAGTCGAAGACGAGTCTAATATTATCTTAGCGAGAGCAATTTATTCTTGTATCACAAGAAAACAAAGCCATACAATATTATAGTATTAATGACTGCTTTGAGAGAAATAGTTGTTTTTATACGCTCAAGGGAAGGTTAGAATTGTGCTATTACCCGAGGCGTGCCGAGGGGAATAGCCCAATTGTAACCTTCCCGAGAGCGTATAAAAACAACTATTTCTCGAATATTAAAGCAGTCATTCATACTTTTATATGCCAAAAAAAAAATAGACTAAAAAATAAAAAATAAAAAATACTTTTTTTTTTGGTCCAAGATGAGATTCGAACTCTTGCGTACAAAAGGTGATGTATCTAAAGTCAGCGCCTCAGACCTCTCGGCCATCGCGCGTTATTAACATGCTTGGCAGTTTTGTACTATATATACATTAAAATGGATTGAAACCGGCTTTGCGTGTGATGAATGCTTCGCAAAAGCTCCATATACGGACTCTTCTTTTACTTTTGCAATGCATATTGGCACGAACTTAGATCAAGATCTATCGGCAGATGTTGTTTTTTTGTTTTTGGAAGTTTATTTTCGTCTTCATGTCAACAATGCAAGATAAAATTGTCGGTAAGATCGATCGAGATTCAATTGTATTGAAATTACCGACCAATTATTCGCACACATACGGTATCCTCCATCGCTCAAACCATTTTTTAACATGTAAACCTATGGGGTAACCATGGAGACTGACCTATTTTTTTAATAACCATGGTTATTAAAAATATTAAATGTTTTAAGCATGGTTACCGGGAATTTTACAGGAACAGTTGAAGTTTATGAATGCAATTTCGACCAATCAGATGGCTGGATTACTTAAGTGAGGTATATAATATTATTATTATTATCTAATAGTCTGACTAGCCAAATAACAAAATTTGACTTACCTTGGTAAATATGGCTTTGTTTTCCTGTGATTTCAATATTGATAGTTGAAGTTCCTGGATGACTTAGCAATACAAAATATATATAGTATTGGTCAGTCATCCGGGTACTGCGCTAAAGATATTGAATACACTGATTTATTGTAACACTTGGAAGCCTAGTTTATATATAATAATAACATATACTCCTGGAATCCTTTAGTATTATTATTATTCAGATTCAGGGTTGTTAAGTAACCTATTAGTATACTAGATTAATGAGTTAATTCACTCAAGCAATCGCACGCGACATTTGGGATTTTTCAAGATTTGTATGATGATCACCACAACCATCATCATCACTACCACCACTACCACAATCATCCTCATCTCCATCCTTAGATCATACACCCATATGCCCAAGTAGACAAAAATGAGGGAATGGTGGGTGCATGACTTTATGTGGGGCATATATGTTAAAACAAAATGACAGAATTCAATGAAGCTGCCAGCATGCATTATTTATTCTTCAAGTTGGCAAATTGCTAGCATGCAAGTCGGCTGATATTTTGAGGGAGAATTAAGAGGTCTATTTGTTTTTGAGTCACTTTCAAACTAAAAGTTTTCTATTCTCTCTTGGACTCCCCACATCTGACACTTTTGTTATTAATTTACACTTACCGTCTGTTGTGTCGAGATGCAGCCTTCTTGATTCTTGGCTGTGAATAAAACATACACATCACCATTAAACTATTAGTCCCTCATTATCCTTTGAGTCTTGTGTTAGAAACATAACATTGGTGACAAAGATGTTGAGTATCAATCTAACCGCTCCTCCACCATTTAGAACAATGGCACGCCAGTTTTTTCTAACTACCTTGTTGGGAGCAGTTTGGACAGTGACGATGTACCCAAATTTGACAGACACGAGTGCTACTCTAAAATCCCTCATATTTATTATGATCATTATTATCATTACCATTATCATTGTTATTAATGTCACTATCATAAGCAGTTATTATTACATTATTATATTAATCCATGATTGTTATTATTAATTCATGATTATTATAGTGGAGTAAAAAATAACACCCTATTTTATATGAAACTAGACCCCCCCAAAAAAAAATCTTCAAAATATGACCCATTATTGTAAATAAAGTGTACACGATAAAATAACCTTTAATTAAATGTAACACTCTTTGTTGCTTATTGAGCACATATTCACACAAAGTGTATCAGGACAATTACCCTTTCGAAAATCATCCCCCGGAAAACTAGCCCCCCCCCCCCCAGGACAATAAACCCCCAGAAAATCCCCCCGCCCCATCCAAGGACAACATCCCAGAGGTCAATTACCCCCCCCCCCCCCAAGGACAACCACACCGAGGTCAATTACCCCCCCCCCCCTCCCCTTGTTCATTAAAGGGGATGTGTTCCGTGATAATAAGTTTGCTTTAAAAGCAGAATTTTTTTTTGGTGGTAATTGTCCTCGGGGTATTTGTCAGACAGGTAATTGGCCGGGGGTGATTGGCCAGGGGGGGGGGGAGGGATGATTTTCCAGGCGGTATTTGTCCAAGAACCCACACAAAGTAGCCTTCTTTCTTGAACACAGGAACATATTCATTCAAATGTTTGCTAACATCATTTGGGAAGTTTTAACCCAGGGCTCATACATACAGAGTGCAAAAATTTAAATCTTAACCTTTTTTCCCCCAAAAAGAGTTAGTGTGGAGTCCTGTATCATGCATACACAAAGTCAAGATGAAGTGTTACCAGTGGGACACTGTCTTACTCTAACGGTACTATAGCAACTAGACTTCATACCTTGATTGCTTCTCTGGAATTTCAGAATCATTCTGTGGAACTCTTGACCGAGTATAAGGACGTTGTCTCTTGTGAGGCCCGCTCTGACTACTGCTACCTTCTGATTTCAGATTAGTCCTGAGGAATGAAAGAACGATTAATACAATCTTTGCAACCCGATGGTGTCCGACACTTTATATTTATGGGTGTAATTGTGGAGTGCTACGAGTTTCACATTTGACAGACATGAGTGCTACTCTATAATCCACTATTATCATAATTATTATTATCATTATCATTATTATGATCATCATTGTTATTAATGTCATTATCATAAATTGTTATTATCAATATGAGCAGTTATTATTATAATGTTTGTTATTATATTAATCCATGATTGTTATAGTGGAGTAAAAAAAAAAAAAAAAATATTTTACATGTACATGAAACTAGACCCCCCAAAAAATCTTCAAAATATGCCCAATCATTGAAAAAAAAAAAAAGTGTACAAATCAAAATGTAATATATTGTTTTGCTTATTGAGCACACATTCACACAAAATTACCCTTTGGACAATCATCCCCCCGGAAAAATAGCCCCCCCCCCCCCAGGGACAATAAACCCCCAGGAAAATTACCCCCTTAAAATAACCCCCCCCCTTCAAGGACAACAACCCCGAGATTAATCCCCCCCCCCAAGGACAACCAACCCTGAGGTCAAATACCCCCCCCCCCCAAGGACAACCAACCCCATGGTCAATTACCCCCCCCCCCCCCTCACTGTTCATTAAAGGGGATGTGTACCCTGATAATAAGTTTGCTTTAAAAGCAGAATTCTTTTGGGGTAATTGTCCTTGGGGATGGTTGTCCTCTGGGTAGAGGGAGGGTGGGTATTTTCCAAGGGGTAATTGTCCTACTGGTAATTGGCGGGGGGGGGGGGGGGGAGATTGTCCAGGCGGTATCTGTCCTAGAACCCACACAAAGTAGCCTTCTTTCATGCACACATGTACATACTCATTCACATGTTTGCTATTAAACATCATTTGGAAGTTTTAACCCAGGGCTCATGCATACAGACTGTAAAAAGTTAAATCTGAGCCTCTTTTTCCCCAGAAAAAGAGTTAGTGTGGAGCCCTGTATCATGCATACACAGAGTCAAGATGAAGTGTTACCAGTGGGACACTGTCTTACTCTACCGATACCATATCAACTAGACTTCATACTTTGATTGCTTCTCTGGAATTTCGGAATCATTCTGTGGAACGCTTGACCGAGTATAAGGACGTTGTCTCTTGTGAGGCCCGCTCCGAGTTCTGCTTCCTTCTGATATCAGATCAGTCCTGAGGAATGAAAGAACGATTAATACAATCTTTGCAACCTGAAGGTGTCAATTTATTTTCATGGGTGTAAAGCTTGGAGCGTCATGGATGTCAAGTTTGACAGACATGAGTGCTACACTAGAATCCACTATTCTCATAATTATCATTGTTATTAATGTCACTATCATAAGTTGATATTATCAAGATAAGCAGTTATTATTACATCGTAATTATAAAAATAATAACTATTATTAATCCATGATTGTTATGGTGGGAGTGAAAAATAACCCCCTATTTTACATAAAATTAGACAACAATTTTTTTACAAAATATGCCACCTTATTGAAAATAAAAAAGTGTACACATTAAAATGGCCTTTAATTAAATTTAACACTCTTTGTTGATTATTGAGCACACATTCACACTAAGTGTATCAGAACAATCATCCCCTGAAAAATAGATCCCCCCCCCCCCCCCCGTTCATTAAAGAGGATGTGTACCCTGAAACTAAGTTTGATTTAGCAGAATTTTTTCAGGGGTAATTGTCGGCTGAGGGGGGGGGGGGGGGGAGGGGTAATTGTCTGACTGGTAAATGGCCCCGGATGTCCAGGGGGGTGATTCACTAACTGGGAACGTTATCATTCCTAAGAGCAATTTGGGGGATTGAATCCCAGCTCAAAAAAAAGTGATTCTACCTGACTGGTTCACTAAATCGCTTTTAGGCTGGGATCAATCCAAGCATGAATAATCATGCGCGCATATGAATATTCATGTACGCGATCAATCCAACCAATCATCAGACTCAAATTTTGGTCACTGGGTGTCCTGCAACATAACGATAATTAGCTAGCTATCGTCGATTAATTTGTCAATGATGTTCAATTTTATGTTGATTTTGTTCTAACACTAGAAGAAAACTGAGTGAAATTTCGCATAAGACAGACACAAAATCATTCATGACTTTTTCATGTAAAAGTGTGAGGATGAATACGATTTTCTGTGGGTTTAGTTTGTCTTTCTTTACGCTTGTTTCGAGTAAAATGCAGGATTTAACTAACGTAATGTACGTAAGTTAGGCCTACCAACGTTATGTAGCCGGCTCTAGTGTGGGCTGGGCCAAAGCTGGGGGGTGATCATCGTACAGTCTTGATGTAGAATCCAAGTCTAAGGTGTTTTACATGTTGTTGGCACTAATTAAGTTAGGCCTACCCTATCATAGAGTAAATCAAATTAGCCAAATCAATCTATCTTCCTCGTGTTTGGTCTAATTTAGCTTCAGTTTGACAGTCCTGTCATGGCCAAAAAGTGTTGCTAATGTAATGAGTAGTCCCTAATGCCTAGTCTATACACAAAAGGAAATGCTAAGAGCAGTCCGGATCACTCTCAGCCTTTATAGCGATTTCACTACTAGCATTAATCCCAAATGCCTTAGTGAATCAGTTCCTAAAAGTGATATCGCTCTTAGGAGTGATATTGTGCCTAAGAGCTATTTAATCTCACTTGGGATCGATTTTAGCTGTTAGTGAATCACCCCCCTGGGGGTATTTGTCCTAGAACCAACACAAAGTAACCTTCTTTCATGAACACAGGTACATACTCATTCACATGTTTGCTAACATCATTTGGGAAGTGTTAACCCAGGGCTCATGCATACAGACTGTAAAAAGTTAAAACTGAACCCCCTTTTCCAAAAAAAAAAAAGAGTTAGTGTGGAGCCCTATATCATGCATACACTAAGTCAAGATGAAGTGTTACCAGTGGGACACTGTCTTACTCTAATGGTACTGTAGCAACTAGCCTTCATACCTTGATTGCTTCTCTGGAATTTCAGAATCATCCTGTGGAACTCTTGACTGAGTAGAAGGAGCTTTCTTCTTGGGAGGCCCGCTCTGACTTCTGCTACCTTCTGATTTCAGATCAGTCCTGAGGAAAATGTGGAGTTCCACAAGTGTCAAGTTAAAAAGACTCGAGTGCTTCAATAAAATCCACTTTTATTATTAGTATCATTATTATTATTATTATTATTACTGTAAACCCATGATTGTTATAGTGGAGTAAGAAATGACCCCCTATATTACATAATATTATGCAAACAAATTTCTACAAAATATGCCCCCTTTTTGAAAATAAAAACAGGTAAAAAATGGCCTCTAAATGTACAACTATTTTTTTTGCTTATTAATTACATATTCACACACAAAGTAATCTACTTTCTTGTACACAAGTACATACCCATTCACATGTTTGCTATCAGGAGGGGAAATGACATTTTCTGTGAACTTTCTTGCTCTTTTGCAAAAAACCATACCCTTATTACCACTTTTTCTAACTCTCATTCTAACTCTCACTTTTGGAAATGTTGATAACCTAAAGGGGAATTAGCCTCTAGACTATGAAGCATTATCATGACATATAGAGTAAAACAACGTTTCATTTGATATAAAAAACAATATAATATCATCTTGCAAGTACAAGTACAGAGACCCTACTTCGCCATATTTACAACGTCATCTGCTCCCCAAGGAAGCTGCCATTTTGTCGAAATTTCCCTTAAAGGACAAGTCCACTCGAAAAATAACTTACTTTCAATAAAAGCAGAAAAATCAGACAAACCAATCAAAAAAAGTTTGAGCAAAATCGGATAACTAATAAGAATGTTAAGAATTTTTGAAAAAGTACGTAAAACCAGGGACTTGTTAGTTGACAAGGACTGGAATCTTGATGTATTCCCTTTGAACCCATGCTCCACCCCGACACTGCAGAATGTTATCCCAACTAATCCAAATTACTGTCGCTCGAGCGCAAGCGCTCGTAAATTTCTTCGAAGCAAATGACAGGCGAGGTCACAAATAACTCACTGCGCATGCGCCCTCGCTTAGCACAGGAAATAAAAATGGCAACAGTGTGTGCTGCTAAGATTCAGTCCCAAAGCCAGGCCGAAGATTGGGTTTTTTACCTGAAAGATTGGGAAATTGAGAGTTGGGAAACAAGTATGTATCTGTGGATTTCCTGCTACGGAAAACTTAATTCAATGTGGTGGTGAAAATTGTCCGATTGTGTGGTATCACTGCCAATGTGCAGGCAAAGAGGTAACGGAAATTCACACAAAGTCTCCCCAAGCTGAGCGGCCGGTCGCGCTCTCGTCAGTGCTAGCTAGATACGACCTGGAGATGCGACTTCTGTGTGAAACCTCATCACACGAATAGATCTACAATATCGACCGACGGTAGAAAGTCCGAACTTCGTACATATACATAAAAACAAAATCTATACTAACCAGATCTGAGTTACTGAACTCTTAAGTAGCTGAAAGATCTAGTTTGTAGACTATAAACTCCCTTGTCAATAATTGTAACAAACAACGTTATCGCTCCTGGCCCGGCCCACATACCCACAACCCTGCATGCTGCAGCTACGTACATGGTCATCACAAATAATATCGTTTTTTTGTTGTTGTTGTAATAGCAATCAGTCAAGCTCAAGAACCGACGATATAATTACCAACGCCTTTCTTTTAAATATTAATTTCCTTCTTTCCAGGCGCGTACGCAGGGGGGGGGGGGGGTTAAAAAAGAAGAAAAAACTCAAAGGGGGGGGGGGTGGTTTTCACAAAAAACATATACATAAAAAAAAAACTGAAGGGGGGGGGGGGGGTTACCCCCCCCTCCAGTTTTTTTTTTGTATGTATGTTTTTTTTGTGAAAACCACCACCCCCCCCCCCCTTTGAGTTTTTTCTTCTTTTTTAAAAATCCTAATGGATGACCTAAAATTTGACCTTAACCCCCCCCCCCCCCCCCCCCCCCAACGGAACAGAAGGTCGATCGGTCAAATTTTGAAATTTCGGGACCCAAAAATAAATGAAATGTGTCCTCTTATCCCCCCACCCCCCCCCCCCCCCCCCCCCCCCCCCCCCCGCTTTATATTCAGCGGCTGGCTGAGTCGTTGCGAAAATTCTTTGGCCCGATTTCAAAATGTTAAACCCCCCCCCTTGAAAAAATCCTGCGTACGCCACTGCTTCTTTCTCTCTTTTTTCAATATAAAAATTATATAGGACCTAACGTGGATAAGCAGTAGATCTATACAAAATTATTTTCTTTTTTTTTTCTCCCCTTTCCAATCGTATCCAGTTTAATTTTAATAACCAAAACAAGGAATTAAAACTAAAAGAAACCAAATAAAACAAAACAAACATGATCGTGACAAAGGCAATCCAGTCTAATTGAAATGGTCATTCTTTATTTATATCTATGATTCTTCATTAAAAATTGCAAAATCATATAGATCTAGATTCTAGACTCTACTCTCAAGATTCTATATGATTTTGTGAATTTTGATAAAGAATTTTAGTGGCATGGTTTTACTTTTTTTGGAAACCAATAAACTATCTATCTAGATCAGCAAGAAAACAATTATACAAAACAGGGGAACCCTGCACTTTACTGGCATGACGTCACTAGCTTAGTAATGATGTCCCGTCGAAAAAATGCAAAGTTTCGAGATCTTTGACCAACTTCAGAGTCATGTCACAAAAAAACACGCAAAAACACGCATATGGGACTGGTATCAGTTTAAAGTTTACAATCTCCTCTTTCCTTCTAAATATATAAAAATATGCACATCATAGCGCAAGGTTGAGTAAATGTCCTTCAATATTCATATTCATATTGTCCAAAGAAATCATAACTGTCCGTGTAACTTGGCTATATCTGGTCGGAATTTGACGGTTCGAAAGCGTAGGACTTCCTTGTTTATCGACTCATTGGAATACAACTACTGCGCATATGATATGCGCAGGATGAGTGAATGCGCAGCCAGAAGGTGTTAGAGATCGAATCTAGTGTATTGCCAAAAACAGTGGAAGGATGACAAGGATGCCAAAATCGGCGGGGTGGAGCATCGGACTTCAAAGCACTGCCAAATCCAGCCTTATCGCTCTGATTTCCGACCCAGCGCTCATTGTTGCGTAACTTTCATAGCCTCCGGGTATCGAGCGGCTGTCTGAGCGTTGCTTATCAGGAGTTTGGGGGATCAATTGCAGCAAACTAAGCTTGCTTAATACCCCTGGAAGGTCGTAAAATAAAGAATCCAGTCCTTGTATCCCAAGTCCCTGGTAAAACTATGGAATAAGCAAAGTTGCCAAGATGGTTATCAGTTCATGACGTCATGTCCTCAATATTTATAAATTGCTCTATATGGTTTAATCCCATTAATTTCCCTTTTTATTCCCCAAAACTTGATTTCCCCATGCCTTTGTCCAGGTTATATGATTTGTATCTTATTGCGTGCATGACATTTCACAAAATCTTTTATGAACTTTGAAGAATTTATACTATTTTCTGAATATTGTATATTCATAATTATTGATTTTCATATAAATAGTTTATCAAAATTCACATTTTTTATGATTTTATGATTTGTGCATCCACACAAATACATATTACTATTAATCTAACTTGGATGCTGGTGTGAAGAAAAAACGATTCTTAAGGAGAAAGTATAAAGAAAATAATTAGTGGATAGTGAGGACATGACGTCGCAGACTCATGAGTGAGTTGCCAATTTGTCTAGTGATTTTCCAAGTGTTTAATGTCATTAAAAATTCATAATTTTCTTATTAGTTATCCGATTTTGCTCAGAATTTTTGGAGTGGACTTGGGCTTTAAAAACTTCTGTGTTGTGACGTATCGCAAGCAGAACTGATGTAGCGTGCAGCACACCACGCGTTATATGCAATACAAGTCAAACATGGTGTACTGCCTAGTCTTTGGTTGTAATAATCGTTCCTCGAAAACCAAGAAGAAATCTTTCATTGGTTTCCAGACCAACACAATCGCATTGAAATATTCAGCTATAGCAGCTCTGAAGGTGGAGAAATTCAAGTACGACAGAAAAAATGATGTGATCTGCAGTGATCATTTTACAGTTTACAGCAAGGAAAGGTGGGTATGCAATAGCAGTCAAATCCATGCAATACGTCACAGAAAGGGCAGTGCCCAAACAAAATGGCGACGTTCTGAAAATTCTCAGAGCCGCGAAAGACGAAGAATTCTGAAGATGAGTTATGTCCTCCTTTTCGTCAAATGTACGTTTTATATTTTTCAGATGTTTGATAGCCTACAAATTGAAATTAACATGCAGTTTGAGGCTAATTCCCCTTTAAATAACTCTGCCATAACAAGAGAAATCCCTCCCTATAAATAACATACCCTACTAAAAGAGCTTTTAGAAAGAGAGGAAAAAAATTCCCTTGTTCATAACAAATTGTGTAATCCCTGTCTCAAACAGGTACACAATGGGGATCTTGATACTACTCTTGTCTTGGGCTTATTGAGTACACATTCACAAAACATATCTTATTTTTCCATCACTTTCTACATAACGTAGGCCTTTTACATGTTTTTCCAAACATTGTGACAATATTATGATACCTTTCTGGTAAAATTTATACCAAAAAAAAAGAGGACTCAGCCTTTTCACAAACATTTAAACATTTACAAACATCGTCCAATATTACTCCCGTTTACCCCAAATTTCTTGCTATCAGTCCAGGGCTTGAAACCAACAGGCTAGCCAGAATACGTGAACATCCACAATCTAGGCCTTGGAGATAATACATCACCCATGGGTTACTGTAGTCGGTGGTCTGATGGTGGTGTAGTATTTCCTTATTTCATCCTTCTTCATTTCTCAATTACATTTGTTATTTTGCAAAACTGATTTGGGAGGACATTGCCCTCTGATATATTATATATACCAGTCACTGCCACTCCTGTGCTATTTATCAATCACCAGGGACTTACTCTAACCTCCCAGAATTGGTATCAATACTCTCTTAGTCTTCATCCTGCTTTGCAAGGAGGAACAAAACAACACCTTCTTTCTCATCCTCACTTCTCTCTTTAAAACAACACTTCTCA